GGCAGTCCAATCGAGTTCTTATGCTGGGTATCCATCATACAAGTTAGAGTGTGATGCGCATATTCTAACTTGTTTACTATAAAATGAATCGAATTTTTTGACATGTTTGTTAGAAAACGAGCCTTGAACGTATGTAGAAGTTGTGACTTCTACGGAGAGACCAATGTGGAAAGAGGCTATAAAAATTGAAATAGATTATATTTTAGAGAATCATACTTGGGAACTGGTTGATTTTCCTCTAGGTAGTAAACCCTTGGGATCCAAATGGGTCTTTAGAAGGAAGATAAAACCTGATGGTTCCATTGAGAAGTATAAGGCAAGGCTTGTAATTCAAGGTTACAGGCAATGCGAGGGCCACAATTACTTCGATACGTATTCTCCGGTGATGAGAATAAATTCCATAAGGATGATACATGGCATAGCCGCATTCTGGATGTTGGTTTGCTAACTTTTGGACGGTCTACCGAGGGTCCAACACAACCAGAAAAGATGGTAGACCGCTGGAAAATAAAATATAAAAAATAAATAGAAATAAGAATTGACACAAGAATTTTAATGTGGAAACCGAAAGGTAAAAATCACAGGTCTTTTAGGGCGGTGCCAAGCCAAAATTTCACTATTCGTAGGTAATTTGTACATATAGCATTGTGTATGGATGAAGCTTTGGTCTTTCTAGAGTGATGGAGCTTTCCTGTCATAAAAAATGGTGTCCGCCCCCCCCCCCCCCCCCTCCCCCCCTTTTGTGGTTCTTGACTCATTCTTATATAATAGAAGGGAGGGTGGTGTACATGGTGAGTGGGATTATCCTCTAAAAATAGAGTGTTTATGGGTAATTGAATATGTAATAAATAGGTGGTTTACTGGGTTATAAAAGATGGGTGATAATGGGAAAATGATGGGTTAATGAAAAATTAGTAAGTTAATTAATGGGTAATAGTGGGGTAGTAAAGGGTATTTATTTTGGGGGTTATGAAGGGTGTTAGGTGTTTTAGCTTAGGGAGCTAAAAACTGATCGGTTTGTTACTAGATGGTCTGACCGGGTTCCCATGCTAGGTATCCATCAGCGGAATTTGGAAGTTCATCAAATGAATATAAAAACAACTTTCTTGAATGACAAGTTAGATGAATAAATCTATAGGGAACAACCTGAGGGTTTTGTAGTTCTATGCCAAGAGAAGACAATCTGTAAATTGGTTAAATCGTATATGGGTTAAAACAAGCGTCTAAGCAGTGACATGAGAAGTGTAACACCCCTAATTTCACAGATATTTAAAACCTATAAAATAAAGGCTAATTTCTTATTAATTCCCAAACAGAGCATAACTAGACATAGTAGTCGGGGTGTTATGCCACATCTGAGCTGGAGAACTCAAATGCATAGGCTAAACTAACTAACAAGGCATAAGCCATGACTAAAGCCCAAATACAAATCAAGGCACGCAGGCCTGTCCCATCCAGTCTAGAACTATCTAACTAAGTCCACGGGTCCACTAGCGCGCTCCGAAGCAACTCACGGTTCCTGAAAAGCATTCGGTATAACAACCGTCAGCGAATAATGCTGATAACCCACTCCAACGCGTTAAGTACAATATAGGTAGATATAAGAAACTCATTTTGAAACTGGAATACATATATACTTACGAAACTCTAATTTAAATCCGAGAACAGACTCAATCAAGCAATAACAAATGCATTCAATACAATTAAACATAAACATAAAGGTTCTAGCATGCATCCTAAGGTCACAAGACTACACAATACCAACCATATGAATACCCAATTATCATCACAGTCAAACAATCAACAATAAGACACGTATTGGTGTACACACACATATGGTGGTGCCGCAGGACCATTCACATGACCCGAACCTTGAGTTCCATTGCCAAGGGGTCAGTGCATATAACTCTGACATGGCCCTGCAGCACTTTAACTTGTACCGCAGCACAAGGAGAACCAAACGATTAATCGCAACCAATCAATGAACCGCAGCTCATTTATATCATAAATGTTTGATCGCAACCAAACTATGGACCGTAGCCCTATTATCATATATGTCTGATCGCAACCAGACTATGGACCGCAGCCCTATATATATATATATATATATATATATATATATATATATATATATATATATATATATATATATATATATAGCCAACCGATCGCAACCGGTCGGGTTAATACCTGGTTGTTCTCAACCAACCAGATAGTCATTATAGCCAATTGATCGCAACCAATTGGGTTATCATGCACAACAACATAGAAGTCAAACAACATGCAACCCACATTAACACATAACAAGGGGGGAATCATCGGGGAACACATAACCCAACATAACTTATTCATAAAAAACGACATTAACCCACCCACGACACTCCTACGGGATCATACAACTACCTCCTAGGCCAACGGGATACCAATTCAACTCGCATGCAATACACAAGACTCTTTTATCCTACGAATGGTACCCGATACATCAACTAGACTCACACACGATAAACGGGATACAACGGAACACGGGGAAACATCAAACGGGGAAAAACACCACGAACCACGCCGGGATTCCAGCGGGTAGGTGGCTCCTCCACCCGCCAGCGGCGAGTACTATTCCAGCGAGTGGCCGGCAGGCAACCCACCGTCCGCCGGCTGCCCGCTGGAATAGTAGAGGCGGGCAGCGGGTAGGTGGAGGGAGGTCAGTCTCCCACCTACCCCCCACTGATACATAGGCAACTTTATGGTCCCGGGATCCCTCGTGGAACCCGAAACCATGTCCAAACACATTCAAACACATAATGACAACACCACGTATTCAATTAATGGAATTAAACCAAGAATCACACCAAATACACCCTAACACGAACCCTAAACATGCCAAGACTCCACACCCGATCATGCAAAATCCCATCCAAACATACCAAGAATAACATAATACGAAATCCACGTTATTACCCTAGGTCTCTAGACATACTCAAAATACAAGATCATTCATATAACTTATCATAGTATCAAGAACATCAAGAATATCACATAAGCATCAAGATTAACATATAAACATCAAGATTATCACATAAACACAATATAAACCCTAGGCAAAGCTCTATCAAGACTCAAGCACAAAATCATATATCAAAGGAGCCAATGAATAAGATATAGCGAGGAAAATAGGTTTTGTTGAGACATGGGTTACCTCTTAGCCTTAATCAATATCCTTGGCTACTAAGGTTCTCTCTCTAAGATTCTTTTTCCGATCATCCTTCCTAGGCTAGTTGGTGGGGAATTCCTTGGCTGGGGTTCTTGTGGGTGATTTCATGTGAGGGAAAGGGAGATGAAGGGTTCTACTTGCTTCTTAATCTCATATTTATATGTCTAAGAGGAACCTATTCAAGGCCTGAGTAATAAGGCCTGCTTTCTCCTATTCCCTATGGGTTTAAGGTTCCTTGTTCAAGTAAGGGTCCACGATCCATTGTGGGCCGCCTAAGTTAATTAAGGGGATTATAATTGGATTGACCCCCTTTTTAACGGTATTAATTAGCGGGATTAATTTAATAACTAATTCGGATTTGAAGGTCGTAACACGGGGTGTTACAAGAAGTTTGACCATGCGATGTTAACCAATGGGTTGAAGATAAACGAAAGTGACAAGTGTGTCTATGTAAAGAAAACGATAAGACAATTTTCTCATTCTTTGTTTATACGTGGATGATATACTCATCGTGGGTAGTAACAATTAAATGATCAAATCCACCAAGAACGTGTTAAATTTGAGATTTGACATGAAGGATATGGGTTTGGCAGATTTAATCTTTGGGATTAAAATCGTAAGACCGGATGGTCTCGTGTTAAGCCAATCTCATTATATTGATAAAATCCTTGCAAAGTTTAACAAGGATGATTATCAAGTGACTAGGACATCATTAGATACGAACGTACATTTGTCCAAAAATCCTAGAGAGTGTATTTCTCAAGTAGAATACGCTAGGATTATTAGAAGTTTGATGTATCTAATGAGCTGCACTAGGCTGTATATTGTCTTTGCGGTTAGCAAACTCAGTAGATATACAAGTAACCCCAGTGATACACATTTGAGGGCAATAGTGAGAGTTATGAGATACTTAATGTATACTCATGACTAGGGACTGCACTTTTTGAGATATCCTGATGTACTTGAAGAGTATAGTGACACTAACTAGATATTCGATATAAAGGACTCTAAGTCCACAAGTGGCTACGTGTTTATGTTAGTCGATGCATCCGTTTCTTTGAAATCCTCAAAACAAACCGTGATAGCCAGATCTACGATGAAATCTGAACTAATAGCCTTAGACAAATGTTGCAAAGAGGCTAAATGACTTCACCATTTCGTTGAGGATATTCTTTGTTGGGATAAACCTATACCTCTAATATGTATGCATTGCGATAGTCAAGCTGCAATTGGCAGGGTATAGGGTACTAGGTATAATGGTAAGTCTAGACATATACGTCATAGACATAATATCATTAAATAACTTCTCACAACGGGTGTTATCTTTGTTGACTACGTAAGGTCAAAGGATAATATAGCAAATCCGCTAACCAAAGGGTTGAGCAAAGAGGTTGTTGAGAAGTTGGCACGAGGAATGAGTTTAAAGCCCTTAGAATAAAAATTTTGTAGTGGACACCCAACCTAGCTGACACTTAGGTTCAATGATACAACTAAATTATAGAACAAAGCGTGTCATTGTGGAGGGTTTGGACTCCCTACCATTCCTCGTTAGAATAGTGACTCTCGCACGAGATTAGCACGTTGATGCTTTAATAATTCGAATGTCGATTGACAAGTGTGAGTATACAGGATACTCGAAAAAGAATTACCTATGTGAGAGAGAAGTGGAGTTGCTTCAAAGGAGAATTGATTGGGCTCAATTCTTTATGTTATTATTTTATTTCTTACAAATTGTCTATTATAGTTTTGCCATAAAACACTATATTAATGATATAAAGTATTATATATAAAGTTTAAAGTATTGATTATATATGCAATTATGTTATGTTATTAATTTTTTTTTTTTTTTGTAAATTGTTTATTACAACTTTACTATAAAGTACTACATTTATTATACAAAATATTATATAAGACTTAAAATATTGATAATAACTTCAATTATGCTATGACACATTTTTATTAGATTTGACCCGTCTCCCAAGAAATCAACTCTAATAATAAAGTTTGAATTTTGAAGTAATATATTTTATTAAATAAACTAAAATACACACTCCCTGCAACCACCTTGTGCTCAGATGGCACCTCTATGGCTCCCCTTGAGGGAAGGTCCCAGGATTGAACCTCGATTGTGGGGTATTGACTCTTTAGGCTGGGCTGCAACAGAAAGAGAAAGAGAAAGTATATAGAAAGTATATAACAGATACTACCTCTTAATAGAGTCAATAGTACTGAAAAAAAACACAGATTTACATTTCTATTTTGCTCCTTGTAATAGAGTCAATAGTACTAAAAAAAAAAAAAAAAAAACACACACTCCCACCCATATTTAATATGAGTCATTGATTTACATTTCTATTTCGAGCAAAATAACCAAGGGGAATTGAGTTAGATACACTCCCACCCATATTTAATATAAGTCATTGATTTACATTTCTATTTGGAGCAAAGGAACCAAGGGGAATGGAGTTGTAAAAAAAAAAGTTTCTTATTTTTGTTCACAAATTTTAAAATTTTCCCATATATATATATATATATATATATATATATATATATATATATATATATATATATATATATATATATATATATAATATTATATAGATGGGAAAAGAACCAAGGGGAATTGAGTTAGATGGGAAATAATATATATATATATATATATATATATATATATATATATATATATATATAATATTATATAGATGGGAAAAGAACCAAGGGGAATTGAGTTAGATGGGAAAATTTTAAAATTTGTGAACAAAAATAAGAAACTTTTTTTTTTTTACAACAACTCTAAGAATTAAGAAAAAATTGAGAAACAAGTTTTTGGTATTAACCAGAACAAAAACTTATTTCGGAAAAGTTTTTTTTTAGGAAAAAGTAAAAATAAGCTATCGAACTACTTAGAAAATCGTAATTAAGACACCGAATTAAAAGATGCTTCAAAATCATTCACAAATTCAGAAAAAAAAGTAGCAATTAACATTTTTAATAGGTAAACTTTCAATTTTTGCTTACTAGCTTGCCATGTGTTTTGTTTTTATAGTATTATTACCAACCTGGAAGGCTAGGTGACCTCGCCGGCCTTACTTTCCTTCTTTTCTTGGCAAAGAAGTCTATTACTGGAGGCGGCGCCAATGACAAAATCAGCTTCGGTTAGAGAGCCATAGTGACTACCCCATCCATGCCATACTTTCTTGGCCTTCCTCTCTTATTCTCCTTTGCGGTGGTAGTAACCTTTGCTCCAACCACCATGCCCAACAGAGGTGAGACTCCCATGTGAGTTACCATCGCCTGATCCGGCAACTTCATTTGAATTCTCTGTGGTTCTTGGAGCCACATGGTAATCTAAGGGAGCATTAGATTACACGATTTTCCTCTCAACTTTTCTTCAAAAACCCATGCTTCTTTCTCAACTTCAAACTCCAAAAATCAGCCTAGACTTCTTTAAAATATGGACACACAAAAAATCTGAAAAAATAAAAGCCCAATTTGAAACTTAAAAATCAAAATTACATATAATTTTTTTTTACTGTATTGCATCTGCACTCTCATCATCTGCTTCTCTACAGACTAACTTACCAGTCTTGAATGTCGCATACAGCTTCATTCTGATGTCATCTTACCAGGTGGCTACAACATGTTTGCAGTCATGGGTTCATCTTCAAAACCTATCCATGTTTTCAAAAAGCCAAGTTACTAGTGTGAGTGGGTTATTGCATAATGGTTTGTTGGTTGCTACAGATTAAAGACTGTTTACAACCAGTTTGGGAGTGTTAGTAGTTATTGTCGCAGTAGACCACAACGCAGTCTTCAGAGCATAGAGAGAGCGAGAGGTGGGAAAAATATAATAGTTGGATACATCTAACTGGAGACCATGGTTTTTGGTTATCCACTGTCTGGAATGATTCTCTGGCCAGCGACTAACGACAAATGTGTTTGATGTTTTACCCGGAAAAAAGTAACAAACATCTCCCGGTATCACTGCCTTCTTCCAGGATGGACGACGACGACAATAACAACGAAAAAATAACAATAACGACAATGACAACAATGACAACGATAACAACAACAACAATAACAACAATAGTAATAATATAAAAATAACTAATGACAATGACAACAACGACAACGATAACAACAACAACAATAACAACAATAGTAATAATATAAAAATAACTAATGGCAATCTAGTCAGCAAAAATTGAAATTTTACCTGCTAAAAATGTTAGTTGTTACTTTTTTCAGGATGCATGGATAATATTCGAGCTTTTTTTAGTTTACTGGCTTAATTGTTACTCCCTCCGTCCCATTTTGTTTGTCTAGTTCAATTAATGAGATTTGACTAAATTTATTTTTAATTCAAATTTTCATAATATTAAGTTTAGTAATAGTATATAAAATTTATATATTTAGAAACTATATTAAAATTTAAAAGTATTATTAAACACAAAAAATTAAATTTAAAAATAATTAAGAATTACTAAAGAAAATAAGCAATGAAGAAAGAGTTGGTTTGACCAATAAATAGTAAACAAGACATGTAAAAAGTGACAGAGATAGTATTTCCCAAATAGTTTGATGGCTTATTTGTACCTTTTTCTTTTTTTTTCTTGTTTTTTTTTTTGTTAATTATTAGATTACTCCATACGCAATTGCAAAATACGTTTTAGGGTATATTTATGCATACCTAAGAACATTTTAGTATTATGACTCTGTAATTGTGTTAGACTAGCACTCTTCTCCTACTCTTGTATTTATATTATGTACAGTTCTTTGTCAATGATAATTCTAGACTTTTAGTTCTCATATGGTATCGGTAGTTTCAGGTTTCTCTATGGACTGTTTTCGAGACCGTTGCTTAACTTCCTGCGGTGGCTAACAATTTGTTATCTACTGCACATCACTTTGTTTAAATCAAACTTACTACCCAAAATTATATGTTTTGGAAGACTTAGTTAATTCCTTTCCTACGTACACAGAATATGTTAGATTTTATTGATGGATACATACCCTGTCCAACCGTGGTGGTGACGTCTGGCGATGCTGTTGCGGCTTTGGGATAAATGGTTTCACCGGCGACCATCTTTCGTGATGCATGGATTCAACAGGATCAAGGAATCCTTTCCATGTTAATTTCCTCTTTGTCTGAAGAGGTTATGCACCTTGCTGTTTGGTTGTCTGTTGAGAGAAGCCTTGGTCTTTTATACGTATTCTGGTACTCTATTTACTCGGCTAACTTCAAGCATTGCAATAAGGAGAAGATTCTATTGCTGATTGTCTTGGTCGTGCGCAAGTTCTTGTTGAGGATCTTGCGCTAGTTGGTCGTCCGATTTCCCTGGATGATCAAAATTTATACGTGTTCCGTGGACTGCGGCTGGAATTTCGGTTATTGGTAGCGACTCTAACAAAAGGAGAACCGGTCATGCTGAGTGAACTTGCTGCTCTTTTTATCGCCTAGGAATTTATTTGTGCTGATGATGTGGGTGTTGCTATTGGTTCAACAGCTCCGACGGCGATGAATGCTCAACGTGGAGGGCAGTCAGGCGATCGCGGTTCATCCTCATCGCAACAGCGAGGTGGCAGTTCACGTGGTAGTAGGTGGCAGCGCGGAGATCGAGGTCGAGGGCAGCGAGCTTGGTCGTATGTTTCGCAATGCCAGATATGCAACAATCAAAGGTCACACGACCGCGACATGCTATCAGCAGTATAATCAGGATCTCGGACCTCAGGCTCATATGGTTTATCGTGCTGATGATGTTGGTTCTGTTGGTCCACATAATTGGTTTCTTGATACTGGTGCTACTAACCATCCTACGCCGATGTCCTCTACAGCAAATTATAATGGTCCTGACAGGCTCCAGGTTGGAAACAATTCAGGTTTGCCTATTGTTGGTGTTGGTCATGATAACTTTACCACTAAGTCTCGTTCTTTTAAATTGTCTGATGTGTTACATGTTCTTAGTCTTTTTGCCTCATTATTATCTGTTCAACCTTTTGCTAGTGATAATAAGTCTTTTTTGAGTTTCACCTCCATTTTTTTCTTGTGAAGGATCTTATAACCAAAGCAGTGTTATATAAAGGTCGTACCTCTAGCGGTCTTTACACTTGGCCCTTATCACACTCAAATTATGTTGAGTTTGTTGTTGCTCGAACTTCCCTTTGATCTGGCATAATCGACTAAGACATCCATATCATCATGTTTTGAGTCATATTTTGAAATTTTGTTCTGTTGATTCGTCTAGTAGTAATGTTAGTTTGTCTCTTTGTTCGTTTTGTCAACTTGAAAAATCCTCGTGATTTCCTCTACAACGTGTTTTGTCATCTAGTTATCATGTTTTAGATTTGATATATACTGATATTTGGGGCCTATTACTTCGTCCAATAGCTATCATTACTTTGTTCTATTTAATTTGTGATGATTACACCCGTTTCACTTGTTTTTTTCCTATGCGTGCCAAAAATGATCTGTATGATATTTTTGCATGTTTTCATGTCATGGTAGAACGATCTTTCTCATGCAAAATAAAGTTCATTGAATCTGATTTAGGGGGAGAATATAAAAAGTTACATTCCGCTCTCTCTAAACTTTTTATTGTTCATCGCCAGTCTTATGCCTATACTCATGAACATAATAGCCGGGTTGAGAAAAAACATAGGCATGTTGTAGAGACTAGACTTGCTTTAATGGTTCAAGCATCGGTTCCTACTGTTTTTTGGGACTATGCTTTTGAGACCGCGGTCAATCTTATCAACAAGATGCCAACTCCAGTTTTGGGTAATTCTAGTCCTCATTATATGATTCATCGTTCTCACCCTTCCTATTTGTTTCTACGGGTCTTTGGTTGCTTGTGTTTTCCTTTTGCTACGTCCTTATACTCGTAACAAATTAGAGTTTCGGTCGTCACCCTATGTGTTCTTAGGATATCTTGACTCATTCCGTGATTATCGTTGCATGGACCTGAACACTAAAAACGCATGCGAGATTTGATGAATCTGTTTATCCCTTTGCATCACCTAAATCTGAACAGGAAAATGCTGCTACTTCTAAAAATGTTGCTCTGTAGAGTATTGTTCAAATGTCTGCTGCTACGCTGCAAAAATCACACCCGCCAACCACTGTCGTTGCGCTTGTTGTCCAGAATACATCTAATACCTAGTCTGAATCTACCTCCCAATCTGTATCCGCCGCTGCAGGTTGTCCGACAGTGGGTGTGACGGGTTCCACATCATCATAGCAACCATGTAATGTGCCTCAACGATCGAGTCGTACACATCGCATGAGTACTCGTAGCATGGCTCGTTTGCACACAAATCCGACTGCTCTTGTGTCTCAAGTTTGTCCTCCGGAACCCACATGTTATTCTTAGGTTGTTGTGTATCCACAGTGGCGTGAGGCAACGGATCTTGAATTTAATGTGTTGCTTCATAACAACACTCGGCGCTTGGTTCCAGCTCAGACATGTATGAATATTGTTGGTTGCAAGTGGGTTTTCCGTATTAAACGTAATGTAGATGGGACAATTGAACGTCACAAAGCTAGGCTTGTGGCAAAGGGTTTTAATCAAGTTGATGGTCAACAATTTTTCGAGACTTTTAGTTCGGTTGTCAAACCAACAATAGTCCGATTACTTCTTTTCCTTTCTATTTCTCATGATTGGACTATTAGGCAACTTGATATTCATAATACTTTTTTGAATGGTAATCTAGCTGAAAATGTTTATATGTGTCAGCCTCCGGGCTATGAGGACAAGAATTTTCCTAATCATGTCTATTTGTTGCAGTGTTCTTTGTATGGCCTTAAGCAGACACCTCGAGCATGGTTTAATCGATTGCATGAGTTTTTAGTCTCTGTTGAGTTTAGTCTATTTAAAACAAATGTTTCTCTATTAATATATTCTAGTAATGGTGTGCAGCTTTATGTTTTAGTATATGTGGATGACATATTAGTAATGGGCACAGACTAAACCCGTGTGACAGTACTAATCTAAAAAATGACTACTGTATTTAAAGTACGTGATATGGGACCTCCATCTTTTTTTTTTCTTGGCATTGAAACTGTTTCACATCAAAATGGTTTGCTTCTTTCTCATTAATGGTACATGTGTGATATTCTGAAACAAGCAGGTATGGTGGATTGCAAGGCTCTGTCAACGCCAGCCTCATTGGATAAAACTAATGAGGAGTTTAAGACTCCTTATGCAGATCCAACTCAGTATCGCAGTCTGGTTGGAGCATTACAATATCTTACAATTACTCATTCTGACCTTTCTTTTGCAATGAATAAGCTATGTCAACATATGCAGTCTCCCACTACAGCACACTGGAGCATGCTTAAACGTGTTCTTAGATATGTAAAAGGTACGATGCATTATGGTTTGTATCTTTGTAAATCTTTTTCAGCACCAATACATGCATATTCTGATTTGTATTCTGATTTGGACTGGGCTGGCAATCCGATTGATCGAAAATCAACAAGTGGGTTCGCTGTATTTTTTGGGAACAACTTGGTATCCTAGGCTTGTAAGAAACAACGCAATATGGCTCGATCCTCAATAGAAGTTGAGTATAAAGCCATAGATGATGTGTCTGCAGAAGTTACAAGGCTAGTATCTCTTCTTAAGGAGTTACGTGTGTCATTTGAGGCACCGCCCAAGCTTTGGTGTGATAATTTGGATGCTACTTATCTATGTTCAAATCCTGTGTTTCATGCTCGCACAAAGCACGTAAAAATTGATTACTACTTCGTTCGTGATAAAGTTGCTAAATGAGAAGTTCAAGTTAATTTCATCTCAATCAAGGATCAACTAGCAAATATAGTTACCAAGTCACTCCCAACCAAGCGGTTCACGTTTTTAAGAGACAAACTCAATGTTGTGGGCTATCAACCTTGAGTTTGAGAGGAAGTATTAGGACTAATTATGTTAAACTAGGATTTTCTCCTACTCTTATATTTATATTTTGTACAGTTCTTTGTCAATGATAATTCCAAACTTTCAGTTCTCATCTTCAGTGTGTGTGGTGTATACATATGCCTATACGCCACACGCAATTCCAAAATGTATTTCTATGTTTGTTCAATCCTTTTCGTCTCTCTCGATCTCCATTGCCACCCCAACCTCCACCATCAATGGCGGAGATTTTGGTTTTACCTACGAATTGAAAAGTCATGAAGTTTAATCTCTTGATTTTGGGTTTGAGTTGTTATCTAAGAAATTGAGCTGATAAGTGATGATGTTGAAATATTCGAAAATTTCCCGGTCTCCAAGTTATTGAAAGTAAAGTTTCTGGCAACTCAAGTTATTGGAAGTTAGGTAGATTTGGGATAAGTGCTTCTCCGAAGGGTTTGGATTATAGGAGGTGAGAGAGTTTTTGAGGGAAAAACAGGCTAGTTTTCGTGGGGTGATGGAGAAAGAACAAAGTTTTCAAATGACTATGGAAAAACAAAAGAGTTTCAAAGGACTATGGAAAAGCAGAAAAACTTTAGCATATATAGCAATGGAGAGAGAGGCAGCTGAGCTGTGGTGGTGAGAGGAAATGGGGGAAGGATTCACCTGGGAAACGAGGTGATATATAATTGATTATTCAATGGATGATTATTCTGAGTATAACTTATAAAAAAATTAATCCAAAAAAAAAAAACAAAAAAAAAAAAAAAAAAAACAAAAACAAAAAAAACAACTTTTGCTAAATATGTTTTCAGTTTGATCAACACCAAAAAGATATTTCCTAAAAGCTTTTCGCCTAGATTTGTCAAAAAAAAAAAAAAAAAAATCTAATTTTTTACTACAAATTTCAATTTCTTATTTCAGTCAATTCTCCGAACACCAAAAAACTAATATACTAAAATAGTCTAATTTCTTATCTGAGTTTGTCAAACAAGAAGATCGAATTAGCCATTCCTCCTCCTAAGCTACTTGTGCTTGTTGCTATAACTGCTCCGGTGCTCGCGCTCCCGGTCTCGGTCTCTCTCCCTCCACCCTTTTGAATGTCGAGCCGTTGCTTCTTCCTCAAACTCAGCCCGCGGAGGCGGCGGCGACTCATACCTTGACGGCCGTCTCTTGAAATGGCGTTCGTCGTCGCTGCTCTCGTAGTCATCACCAGCAGTGCCACTCTTCCTTACACCAGATGATGCCTTATGCTGTTCGACAACAGTAGGTCCTCCTCCGCCGCGCTGGCTAAGGGAACCACTAGCCGGCGGCGCTTCCGTGGAGGATGAACTTTTCTGTTTCTTCGCCGCCTCCCCCTCGGGGAAGCTAATGCGGGAGAACACACTCGCTTTATTCTTTTTGTCCGCCGCGGATTCTTTGGATGCTGCCGTTGGGGGTTCAGCTGGAGCGCCGCCGGAGGGTGGTCTAGCAGAGGTTGAGGATGGCTTTGAACGGCCGTGGCGGTCGAGGTCGCGCTCGCGCTCATGGTGGTCGCGAGTCTCACGCCGGCGATGGCGGTCATCCTGGTAGTCTCTATCCCGTCGGTGATAGTCTTCATAATCATCATACTTTTTCTTGGAGGGGCGGGGAAGTTCAGGGTCACGAGAACGGCGGTCTGGGGATGGCCTCTCTGAACGGTGGCGCAGATGATGATCGGAGGAGCTTGGCGGTGGGAGAGGCCTCTGCGAGTTCTGTCGCCGCAAAATAAGATACAAACACATTATATACGGAGTAATAAAGAATTAAAATTAAAATTAAATTAAAATTAAAATTTAATTTTATATATAGAAAAAAAATATTATAAAAGAGAACATGATAACGGCGGCGTTAATTGCCATTATATTTTCTTTGGGCCTTAACGCAGCAGTTAGACTTTTCTATACACTTACAAATACGGGCGAAAGAGGGATCCGATGGCCCAGATGTGCGCAAACCGTTATTAACGTTTGCAGTTTTCCTAATAACAGTCTTAAATACCTATTGCGGAGTACTTTATACCCAACTGAATTGTTTTCTTGTACTGGACAGAGCCTAAATACTATATTATTAGCAAATTTTATTTTTAAACTTTGCTACTAAAAGAAGACCAAAAACTGAAAAAGAACCCCCCAAAAAATACAAAACAAAACAAACAGGCTTCTAGAATAAATGAAACTTCAAAATTGTGAATTTCGAACAAAAAAAAAAAGAAGTTTCAAGAAGTTCAATTGGAGAAAAAAGCAATAAGGATAACCCCCGGAAAATACTATTACCACTCTCAAATTCTACTATCAACTTTTACTTCCTCTCACACAATTTTGGAGTTGACATTTTAATTAGGACCCACATAATAAAGATAACTAATCATCAATTATCACATCAAGAAGTAAAATGAAAAAGTAACAATAAGGAGTACATATAGTAACACTCTTTAGAAACCCATCAGCTTGGGCCGGCCTGGAATCACATCCTGCTGGATTCAATGTAATACCTAAATAAATTGCGCTCCTAACCCCAATTTCCAAACACTAAATTGTATTCAAAAAAAAAAAAAAAAAAAAAAAAAAAAAAAAAAAAAAAAAAAAAAAAAACAAAACAAAACAAAACAAAAACAAAAACAAAAACAAAAAAAAAAAAACAAAAAAAAAAAAAACCAAAACAAAACAAACAAACAAACAAACAAAAAAAAAACAAACAAAAAAAAAACAAACAAAACAAAAAACAAAGCAAAACTAGTACCAATAATTCCTATATTTTTCTTTTGCCCCCTTGTTTTTGGTATATAATATGGTCCCTTTTTGTTTTTAGGTGATGGAAGTGGGGGAGGGAGGGTGGTGTTAACTGTTAAGATGGTAGCCAGGAATGAAGCAATTGCAAAAAAGACAGTCCAGTCCGGGGCTGCAAAAACATGAACAAGCTTCAAAGGCATGAATTTAGACCGACCAGCTACCATTTCACAAATTAGTCTCATATATTGCAGACAAGAATGAACATATCAATCACACCCACAATAATATAAAGAAATCAAGTAAAAAAAAACGACGATAGGAAAAATAGGAAACAGAAAAGAAATGTTATTATCTGTGACTCTCCTCCATCCCCCACTAAAGCTAAGCTCTGACTTACTATCCTGATTGCACTGGCAATTAGAGCAAGCCCCATTACTTTAGGGAATGGAGAGATTTCGCGACCCAATTGATACCAACTAATATGGATTCTGCGACTAAAAGAACTTGCCCTTCCCCCAATAATGGAAAGAAGAAACTGGAAATATTCTCTTTCCAGTATAGCTGCTTCCTGCCACACTGATGCCATCCCAAACAACTCTTCCTATAAACATAAACCCTACCTACTGGAATACAAATGTAAGAAAGACGAGAAACTTGAATGACAAAAGTACATACAGATTTGGGTTTCTTTGACGAAATGTCACAGCTGCTTCCAACTTCTCTAGAAAATTCCCTACCATCCCTTGGTTCCCTGACAGATATGAAAAACTCAACAAAATTAGAAAGGCCTCCAAAGATATGCATCTGACATGCATGTACTGAAACACAAAACAAGTCATGCACTCATGCACAAGTCAAGCAGAGGATCATTCAAGGGTAACCCCAATTAATAAAACTTTCAAAAGGATCCACCCTGATTTTTCTCTAAAAAGAGAAGGGCTATTTTCCCAGTTGGGAGGTAGGGGGAATGGGATATGGTAGTTCACTATTCCCTGTGTTTCCGATTTGGCTGGACAGTTATTTGATAAAATATAGTCAAACCATGCAGTGTACTCATCCCATGAGAAATATAACAGTTACTTGCATTGGGCTCAACAACCAACACAAACTGTTATCCATTACTTGGGGTACAGGATCAAGTCTGTTAGTTGATCAAAATGTTACATAAGAAACAAGATATTTCAACTGAAAAAAGCTAAATGCATCTATCCTGAAATGAGAAATTGAATTAGATAGAGTGGACATTTAAAAAGATTAGAAAAATAGTCGATCAAAGCAAACCACAAAAGTGTGAATGATTAAGCTAAAGAAAAGGTCAAATATAGCTACCTCTCTCCATGTCTCTCATTCTCATGCTTCCTCTTCAAACCAGACTTTCTAGCTTCAAATGCTTCTCTACTCATCATTGGAGGCCCAGCATCAAAACCCGTCCCAAAGTTAGCAAGATCCCTGTGATAGAAGTACACTTTTTAAGCAAAAAACAAAACAAAAACAAAAAAAAAAAAAAAAAAAAAAAAAAAAAAAAGGTTCTCATGTCTGCCAACAAAGTTTTGAAGCAAAAAAATGGTATTCAAGCAAGAATAACAAAATGCTTGTCAACGACTACCCTCCCTACTCCACCCCTCCTCTCAACGAGAGATATAAATGGGAGAAAACTATACATTTAAAAATTAGAAATCAGGTGAAAAGACAAATGAATTTAAGGAAAGGGGTGAGGGTGAGACTACTAACATAAAAGCAAATCATACCTCTGTGGGGGAACAAAAGGTAACATGCAACCCTGTCCTCCAAAAGGATCCTGTGGCATCATATGACCAAATGGAGCCGGAAAGGGGCCTCCAAATCCTTCCATTCCATAATTCATATATGGCATTGGAGCCGGAAAGGGGCCTCCAAATCCTTCCATTCCAGGTTGCATGCCTGTCCAATATGGATTATAGCCAGGACCCATAGGCATCATATAATTCTCTGCAGCAAGGTCCATGGGTGGCCTCCACTGCATCTCTGATGCTACAAGGCATCCAGGGATAAGCAAAGAAACATTAGCCTCATGCGAGCAGAAAGCAAATTATCAATTTTGAGAATCCACATAATTCTGAAATTTCAAATCATAGAGAGACTGAAAGACATACCAGGAAAAGGCATACGTGGTTTTCTCTTTTTCTTCCTTTTTGCTGAAGAGAAGAAAAAAAATTGATACAGTAAATGAGATGGTGCAACAATGGATAAAAGATTTATTGTCAAAAATTAGTTGGAGGCTTGGAGCACTACAATTTGAGTGCTAATCTCTTAAATAGCTAAATACCACAGTGACATGAAGTAGGCCATGAAAAGCAGAAAAGATGCTACAGAATTTACAACACCAATACATCAGAGGACTAGATGGATGAATGAAACAAGTCAAACCAACTGTGAAATAATTATGTTTAGAAAGCAACTGAATCATTTACCTGCGTCAGCTGCAGCCGCAGCAGCTGGCTTCTGCTGCACTTCTTCATCAACAGGCAGAGCACTTCCCTGAGAAGCTGGTTCCTTCAAGCTAAATGACTCATGTGTAGGTTCAGAAATATCCCCCATTTTTGGCATCTTTCCTTTCTCCAACAATTGCAGTGGAGCAGTTTCCAATTTAACTTCTTCCACTTTCTCTGGTGCCCTTAGAGTCTCTTCCTTCTGGGGAAGTGGCTGGGATATTTTGTCTGCCTTTGAAGTTTCTCCTGCAGTCTCCGGTACCCTAGAAGTCTCTTCTTTCTGAGGAAGTGGTTGGGGAACTTTCTCTCCCCTTGAAGCTGCAGATTGTGAAGGAGATGGATTCTTAGGCATAGGATTGCGAGCTGACTCCATATCTGAAAAAAGATAAGAAGTAAATAAAATGAGCATAGTTAAACTGATGGAATTGCAATAAAGTCTCTAAGTCCCTTTAAACTTTGTTAAGAGTCCCACATTCATAAAATAAGAGAGAACATATGGGTTTATTAGGCCATGGGTTAGACTAGCTAATTGGTTGGATTCAATCTTTTAGTGTGGTTTGGCCTATGTGCATTATAGCCCAGTTGAGTGACCCTAGCCCAATCTTAGTTTATAGCAAACTTCAATATGAACGATAAATAATATTTCAACAATAAGCACAAACCTTGAACATGAAGGGCACTACCCCTGTGTTCACTGCTGTTATTGGACTCCAGAATTCGGTTGATGGTGTCTCTAAGTGTCTTATTGGGCAAGAGGTCATCTGCAAGTATGTTCGTGGCCCCACACACACACATGGACTTGGAAATGATATAATCCCTTACACCTGTAAATAACAATTAGTAGTTAGAACACCAAAAGCCTGAAATGGCAATGGCCATTAAGAATAAAAAGCAAGGATATATTACATTTGTCACAGAAACTATTAAAACAACATTTGCTTGTAAGCACTGCATCTTTCATCACTTCTTTACACAAAGGACAATGAAGTTCCGGGGGAAGTTCACCCACTAAACGCGTAGAAGGCATAGCCTCAACAGCCCTTTCAAAGGCAGCCCTGCAAATGATCCTAAATATTAGAACACAGCTTTTTACACAATACAAGCAAGATTCAGGAAAATAAACAACTTACTCATTTGGCTTCAAAACGGCATTAGCACCACTAGGTAATGCATATGACCCATCTGGAGTAGCCATTAACATAGATTTTGGAATACCAGTTGGAGGCTTCACCCTCTTAATGTCAAAATTTGGGTCACCATTTGTTGGACAATGTTGAATAAAATGCCCTAAAAATGTGTTATGAATAATCAAGCCGCATTCATGGTAATAAAGAAATTGAAAACCAAAAGACTTAAATCTCCAACACTTCCTATATAACTCCATAAACAGGAAAGAAAAAGCATACCAGCCACCTTGCACCTATAACATACATAACCAGGTGGTGGTGTTTTCCGCTCAAATCCACCTCGACCTGAAGAGCACAAATAATTTTTGAAGTCAAAGTCAAAAAGCAGAAATATACTTCTATAGAGGCCAAATTATAACAGGTCTAACAAAACCCAATTGATTGGCTGAAAATCACTTTGAAAAACATTTTTCAACACTTTCTGTCATATTATGTTATAAGACACATTAAAGACGCAACATCCTGGAGCTTAACTGCTTAACCCCAGGCCAAGTTACAATTTTAAAGGTTGGGGGGAAGAAGGGAGGGGGGGGGGGGGGGGGGGGGTGGTCTGAGTGGAGAGAGAGACAATGAGTGAGTGAGTGAGAGAACAACAAAGAAAAGAAAGACTAGAAAATAACAAAGTAAATGAGAAAGGACAAAAGGAATCACCAAAACCACGCCCACCCATCATTCGCCCACCCGGACCACGTCCATAACCTCTACCAGCACCAAATCCATCAGCAGATTGACTGTGAATAAATATGAATATTAGTTTAAAATATTGATTATGAGAAGTAGAATGTAAAATAAGTTAGAATTTCAATGTGAAAGTTTGAGACAATAATATAATCATAATAAAGCAGAGAAGTTCTCACCTCTGCCAATCCAAGGCTGGTGTGTCGATTAAAGCCTTAATTTTGCTCTCCTCATCAGCTTTGCTTGGAGGGGAAACCTCTTGCACAGGATTACTTGACTGAACAGTCATAACTTCAGGAGTTGCATACAAATCAGTCCCAAATTCATCCCACTCCAAGTCTTCAGGCTACAAGGACAAAATAATTGAAATTAACGCCATGCTTAGAAACTGACATGAAATTCACAAACATACAGTTGTTAGAAGCTTACATATTTAGCAGCAGAAGTCTCTACTCCCACAAAACCAACTTTTACTGTTTGATCCTCCTCAAGCTTATTTTCGACAACAGTCCTGCAGAACAGCATATTAAGATCAAACACTGAACCCAATACACAATGCAAGAGGCCCATAGAGTGATACATGCCCCTTACCATCCACCCAACCCCTTCCATTGCATAAGCTTGCATAACCTCTAAACAAGATCAAGCACACATTGATGCGTTAACTAGCAACTTATAATTTTTAATTTGATGAAAGAACCAACTAGCATCCTTAATAAAACTTCGACTGAAATTTTTAACCCTGAAGTTAACTAAAGCAAATGACATTGGAAGGATTGAGATAATACTCTTCTAGTTCAGTAATCGGTGCAGTAACTATAGGCATGCGAGGTCGGCCAGGAACTCGGCGAATCAACACACTAGTATTTTTTGGAATCAATGTATCTTCATCAAGGTATTCTGTCATCACAAAACAGAAAACATATATGAAACCCTGCAAGTGAACTCTACACAACATCTAGTAATGTAATAGACTAAGCCTGAATGGCAAAATTTGTCCACAACATTCCAAATTAACCCTTTTCACCATTAACTTGATTTTTTCAGACCCTTGGGAAGAGTGAAGTTGACCAGTAGTCCAGTAGTAAGAACCTTATTTATCATAACATTGAATTAGGAAAGGAATGGGCCAGTTTCAAACAAATCACACAAGCAGCAAGGTTCTTTTAAATGACAAAGGATACTGCCAAATTCTCATGCTAAAATGTTTGATTGGCAGATACCTTGTCAACTTAACAATGAAGTGCTGAAGTACTGACTACCAAATTTTGCAGCAGAGACAACACTTCTATTGGAAATTCGTAGGACAATAGTATAATCACATCCTTTTCAAGTGTATAGGTCATCTTGACAGGATGATCTTGCACATATAATAGGTAAAATCAGAGAAGGGCAAAAATAAAGCACAAACATCACTTTCAATGTGTCCTTGGCATGACATGCAATCCCATTAAAATCCAGGAGTTGGGAACAAGTAGTGCAAAGACAGGTTGATAACTATCCCTATAATTATAATTGGAAAGGAGTTCAGCTGAGATGTACTTTTCGCAAAATGGTATGTCAAGTGGGAATCTTCTAAGGAATAAGCACTTATCAGAAAATGTGCACTAAAAATTATACATACAAACACTGACCATTGATGAAAGCTAACCAACCTTCATTAGTCTGGGCGTTGGTGACAACTAGGTCAAAATCTGTACCCCTGCCCAAATGCTTGGATTCGAATATTTTTTCTTTCAAATTTCCAACAGCAATAAAATGACTGTCAATTGGAATTGAATCATAATCCTTTGCACTTTTAAATTTAAAATAAACGGCCATATTTTTTTTTCTTTAAATTCCTTTTTCCCCTCAACAGGAAATCAACAATAAAACAACAAAGGAAGGCCTAAAAAAGGAAAAAATATATATAGGCCTGGTATTAAACTCAAACCAAAAATTGATAATAAGTACAAAAAATCTGAAAATAATTTCTCCTTTTTTCTTCAGTAACTCAAGATGATCAGTCAAACCAAATCCCTGCAACGGACAACACGAACAGATTGCCGCAAAGTCCGATCAATCTCGTAGCTCTTAAGCCGGTGAAGCCTCAGCGGCAAATCAAATCAATCCACATACAGATTCTTTCAAGCGGATCTACCAGAAGTGAAGTCCAAAAATCTCCGCGTTGCCTCGCCAACCAGTTTGGGAAACCGACCTTAAGGTAGGCGATTCACGATTGTGTCGCCGGTTACGTAAGCGAGTCAAACCTTCACAAACGGACTAGACCGAGGAAAACACCGATCCTTGAATCGACCGCCGGAAGCACCGTTTTGGTTCTTCAAAAATCGACATCGCGAACTCGAGCGAGCTCCGTAGAGGCGCTACAAATAAATATTCATCGCGCAATACAATGAGCTGATCGGAGAAATCCGATCGGTTTCGATCTCCGGCGTGTAAACGTCGAAATGAGAGCAACGAAACCCTAGAGAATATTGAGGAAGAGAGACGAGAATGATTTATCAGTTCCTGTTGGACAAAATTTTCAGGTGGCTGCACTACATGTTATTGTTATACTGAGGCCTGAGGGCAGTAAAATCCCCTTCCCACTTCCTACGCGGTTTCGAATTTCATCAACCTGTGGTTTTGAGGTTGTAGGCCCAAACCAGGAAGAGATTGTGACAGTTGGACCATACAATTTTAGCCAAGTCAAGAAAATGTCCTGAGGATGTTTGGAACAAATGGCATTTATTTAAGACTTTTTTTTTTTTTTTAAAGCAGCCATTTATTAAGACTTTTAATTTCCATTTTCTTACTTCACACTTTATTCTTTGCTAACTAGTAACTACTACCGGTAACATAAGTGACACAAAAAAAATATTTTTTTTTAATATTATAAGAGAAGGGATACTCACATATACAAGCTATTACAGATCGCCTCTATCGAGGCTCGAACCTAATATCAAAAAAAATAGTACTTCGTATATTATTTTTTCTACGTTTTATATTTTAGTTTTTTCGTATTAAAAATTTTTCTTGAATTTGAAAAAAAAAAAGAAAAAAAAAAAACTAATTTGTTTCACAATGTACTATAAAAATACAAAATAAAGTGGCAAATAATATTGTTTTAACTTCAAAATTAATATAAGACTTTTCAAAAATGTTATAATAATATAATAATAACAAAATATCAATTTTGCCCTTTATACTTAGGGCATCCTCAAAAGTGAGGTATTTTTAAGGGATTTTGTCATAGCCATGTAGGAGAGAGGGTAGAGGGAAGAGAAAAGGGGATGAAAAAAAAAAAGTCTATTCACGCTCTCAGCTGGGCACAACAGGAGCGCCTCAGGCGCGCCTGCAACTCCTTTGACTTTCTTTATTCTTTGTAAGTGGGGCCAGTTTGAACTCCATTTTGCAGGAATAAAATCCCCTAAAAAAAAATTAATCTTTCCATTTGTGAAGATCTATTTTACTGTTCCACAATCTCCCCAAAATTTCCTTTTGGGGATGCCCTTATTTGACAATTTCACCACATATTTTTTTTCAATAACATAATTGCAACAATAGTCTACCACGTTTAAACTATTAAATGTAATTAGGCTTGATTTATAAATTTAAAGTAAAAATATTATTGAAAAAAGTATCAAATAAACCTTATAAATTCAATAAATAGTGCAATTAGGTTGTCTAAATAAACAAACTCTAATGATGTCCTCTAAAATGACAATATAGTTTATCAAAAGAACAAAAAAGAGGAAAAAAAAAAAAAAAAAAAAAAAAAAAAAAAAAAAAAAAAAACGGATGAAATAGTACAATTAGACAATAATATTGCATATTTAGCAAGTTACCATTAATGTGACACTAATTATGCCAACACATGGTGTCTCAATACATACATGTACAGTTTTTATTTTATTTTGTTACTTTTTAGTTTCTACTTTAAAAAATAAATAATATGTGATTGTCTGTCAATGGAAACGACACTAGTCAATAGTTGTTGATGACAACGGGTGTTTTTTTTAATTTTTCTAAAATTTTAAATTAAAAATAAAATAAAAATTTACACAAATCCACGTAAGCAAATATCAAATTCTCAATATTCATCAAAACAAATATTATATGCTACCATAATTTTTTTAGGGTGTGTTTGGAAACTAGGAAAATGACTTCTGGAAAAATGAGTCATTTTCTAGAAAACATTTTCATTTCCAGTGTTTGATTATATTCTAGAAAATTGTCTTGATGTATTTGGTTCATTTTTCAGAAAATATTTTTTTTTTTTCCAAATAGCAGAGAAAATAAAAGAATAGCAGAGTACTGGTTTCCGAAGCCTAATACCAGTCTGGTTTCCGAAGCCGAATACCAGTCTGGCTTCGCCGGAGCAGATCTGGCACTGGATAGCCTCGACGCCACCTCGACTGCGGCCTCGGCCCTTGCCACGACCTCGGCCTCGATTTCCGCCGCCACGCTGCTGCCCGCCCGAGCGACCTCCACCTCGCCGAATACCAGTCTGGTTTCCGAAGCCGAAAACCAGTCTGGTTTCCGAAACTGAAAACCAGTCTGGTTTCCGAAGTCGAAAACCAGTCTGGTTTTCGAAACTGAAAACCAGTCTGGTTTCCGCATGGCTTCGAAAACCAGAGCACTAGTTTCCGGCTTCGAAAACCAAAGATCTGGTTTTCAAAGCCGAATCTTGTTTCCAAAGCTGGAAACCATGGTTTCCGGTTATGGGTTTTCGTCCCCATAGTCGAAAATTGTCTTTGATGGCGGAGGTCCGCCAGATCTGCCACCGGAGGTTAAACAAAAAAAAAAAAAAAAATCAAAACTGTCAAGAGAAAGAGAGAGAGAAGGAAAAATACCTTGGACTAGCAAATGAAGAAAGACGGCTGAAGAAGGTAGGCAATGGGATGGCCGAGGAAGAAGTCACGGAAGATGAATTAGAAATGGAATAAGGTTGCAGACTATTTGAGAAGAGAGATAAGGGTCGGTAGTTTGTTGGAGTTTTGCGTTCAAAGATGCCGTGTGGATTGAGAGAGAGACGAGAGGTGGATGAGATAGAGTGTGATTGGATGAGTGAGTAGGGTTCTAATGAAAAAAGATATTTTTGTTCAAAGAGTCAAACCTTTTCTCCTACAACTCTCGAGATTCACGGAATTAAAATTTTCATTTGTGGAAGGCGAAGGGGACAATGGTTGGGATTTGTAATTCCACGTAATGAAAGAACTAAAATTGCATGATATGATACCAATTGTCATAATCAAGCGATTGATATGTGCATGATACGTGCGTGCTATATCTTTTTGGTGTCGCCGCCCACTTGTGACCTATTTTGATACCAATTGTCAAAATCAAACACTTACCACTATGTCAAAAGTTATAGCTAACAACGAATCAAATGTGCAATTTTATTTCTTTATACTTTAATACCAGTCAATGCCACATTTTGATAGTAGGATGCTGGGTTCACCTCTTTAAACCGCCGCCCAATATAAATAATTTGTGATTGTCTGTCGATGGAAACGACACTAGTTGTCTATCAACAAACAAGACAACCATGATTGTATTGTCAATTAACGGAAATAGTCACTAATTGTTTATGGCAATGTATTGTTTTTCTAAAATATTAAATAATCAATTACACACTTAGGTTCCACGTAAGCATGTATCAAATTCTCAATATTCCTCACAAAAAATATTATATGCTACCATAATTTCTTAGCAGAAAAGAAATGTCATGTATTTAAAGTTTTCCTTATTCGATGAAATCAAAATGATCTTTTGATATCTGTGAATGGCACAAAGTCACGGATTATGAAAGACAAGAAAAAAAAAAATCATCATGATTTCATGTTTGATGTTGAGGAAGAAGGGATCAGAATTAAAAAAAAAAAAAAAAAAAAAAAAAAAAATATATATATATATATATATATATATATATATATATATATATATATATATATATATATATATATATATATATATATACTAGTTTTGTACGCGCATTGCGCGATTGGGATAATGCCCAATATTTTTTTTTTAAATAAGTACTTTAAAGTATATTAAGGCAGGATTATATTGAAATTGTTCATGCATAGATAATTGAAGGTTGAATTTGCATATTTAAATAGGTAATTCTTCTCCCAAAGGTTGAGTCCCCAACCCCAAGGGCCCCCCACACTCCGACCCGACAGAGCATTGTGGGAAGTTGTAAATCACGGTGACTCAATGGTTCAGCAGACAGGGCTAAATGCTGATACGCACAAGGAATCTGCCCACTTTGGACATAATTCCCGCATTGCCGCTGCCGATGTTCAAACCTTGGTCTCTTCTCCCAAATACTACCCACTAAACCATTGAGCTAAGCCCGTGCGGGTTAAATAGGTAATTCTAAGTTTACAAATGCAAGATAATATAGTCAAGATTGATTATAATTGTCAATAAAATAATTGTATAGGTATGGTTGAAACCAAATACGGGACATAAGAGAAAACAAATAAAAATTAGGGCATAAAATATTAAATATATACTAATATTGTTTGAGAAGATTCTGACATTAGGATTTGTGGTTAAGTTCTATTAAGACTTTAATATTAGAATTGGATTAATGGTGTAGTTATAATTCTATATTAGACTTTAATATTAGAATTAGACTAACAGTGAATTAACGGAAAAGTTAAATGGATAATCATATAATTAAGGATAAATTATAAAATCTTAAAAGAAAAAAATTAAAACCTGAACAATATGAACCATTCATTTGATTTAATAATTTGGCGGTCATTTTTTCTACCCAATGTTAATAATTAAATAAATTCGCTGGTCAAATCTGCTAGTATAATCCGCTAACGCTAACCTCTAACTGCTGATTGTCAAACAAGGACATTGCGAGGTAGTTCTCACTTCAATTTGTTGTGTGATTTGAATACTCTCTTACTTTGTCACAAAATCTATCAAGTAGTTAATATGGTTGGCTTTATTAATTATATTTTTTTTTAATTTTTTCATGGTATTAATAAAATACTTGGTAAATAAATATACAACATTATTTTGTATTATAACTTTGATATTTAATTAGAAAAGTAGTGCACAAAAAAGATAATAGATAATGTAGTGAATATAATCAATTGAAGAATTTGAATGTAAAATTTTTTACATTTGAGAAAAATAAAGACAATATAACTAATGAAAATATTTCTTTTAATTAATTTATTGATAATTAATAATTTTTTTTCACTGAATAAAAACATTGTAAGGATAATGTAGCGAATATAATCAATTAATAAATTTGAATAAAAAGAATTTTTATATTGAAGAAAAATAAAGACAATATAACTAATAAAATTATTTCTCTTATTTAATTTATTGATAATGAATAATTTTTTTTTTTTGAATAAAGACATTGTGGACACATAATTCTAAATTAAAGAAATGCATATGTATTATTTTTCGTTGTAACTACTAAATTATTATTTATATAATTTAATAAGAGTAAAATAGAGTACTAATTATGCCAACTTTGATTGGGATAAGGTTCGAACCTAAGATCTTTTTTTTTATTGAAATCAATGAGTAAGTTAACGGTGAACTAACGGCAATTCTTAAAATTTTAACGGAATTAGTAACGATGTGTGGGTATTTTAGGAAATTTTAGTGTAAAATTTAAATCTGATCAATCTTTT